CTTGGGAATACCACCCAGGAACAGCAGGCTTTATTGGTGGAGTAGGAGTTAAGTTCCAGGTACATAAGCCTTTCCAGCACCTGTGGGACACGAGTGCACGTGTGCAGGAAGCAGCTGGGAATGCTGGGCCTGGTGCTGAGCACAGCTAAGGAACATGTGTTGGCTAAGTCTCCCAGGACAACCTCCTCGCTGAAACTGATCTTCAAGGTCACCCACAACACCCCTGTTGGTAAATTCCATTTTCTTCTGTCATCTTACTTAACCTTCTAGCAGTATTTGGCACAGCAGATGGACTCCCTCCTTGAAATGCCTCCCTCTGGCAGCTGTCAGGCAACAATGACCTGCAGGCTGCTTTCTCCCAGTCTCCCTTGCTGCCCCTCTCCTTCATCCAGCCTGAAAATGTTGGCACATACCAGGGCTTATTTCTCAGCCTTTTAACCATCCATATCCACTCTCTTTCAAGTAACCTCATCCATCCCTATGGGTTTTAAATGTACTTTACTATGAAAACTTTTGACCCAATATAAAACAGTATAATGAAACCCATGTGGGGCTGGAGTAGAGTGCCTACCTAGAATGCTCTAGGCCCTGGGTTCAATCCCTAGCACTGCAACAACAACAGAAAGAAACAAAACCTCATCTATCAATAAGTGGCTTCCTATATGCTGGTAACTCCCACATGTTGCCTGCAGCCTAGACATCTCCTCTGAGGAGTCATACAGCCAGCTGGCTATTGGTTTTTCCATCTGGAAAGCATGCAGTCACCTGAAACTTGACAAGATTCTCAACTCCCCTTTCTTCCTCTCTGCAACACCAGCAAGCTCCCCAAAAGCTGTGTGCTCCTTATGCACTGATGTTCCCAACAGCCATCAGTGCCTGGCACAGGGCAGCACTTACATATTTAAGGAACAAATGACTCTAGGTAAATGGCACCAGTATCCTCTCACTTGGTCATTAACTTTAATTCTGTCCTCTCTCCAAAATAAGACTACTTTTTAAAGAAATATATCATGTCACACTAAAATCTTATATTTACATACCTCTCAGAATAAAGTCCAAGCCTATAAGGCCTGAGGTTACATGGCCCGTGTTCCTTGCCGCCTCCTCCCTTTACTGCTGATTGAAGCCTTATGGACTTTCCTTGGGTTTCTGACTCCTTCCCACTCAAGTCTTTCTCACACAGGTCTCAGCTCAATGTCACTTTCTTGGCAAGGCCTCACATGAATTTGCACAAGTCTCCCTGGTCTTCTCTCTCTGAACATGCCCTAGCTGTAGTCTGTAGGTTTACCTCCAACGATCCTTCCCAGGTACAGTGGCCCTGGCTATCATGCCAGTTCCACGGGGCTTCACACATCACACAGTGCAACACACGACTTAGCAAATTAACTGGGTCTAGGTGCAGTCCTGGAAATGCCTTCAGGGAAGGCTGGCCAGAGGCTAGGAACAAGTGGTCACAAAGCATAGGGGAACCTGGGAGGGTCATCAAAGAACCAGCTGGTCATGGCCCAGCACAGCGGGGTGCTGGGCAGACCCGGGTCCAAATCCCCATTGCACTAGCTCTGTGACCTTGGGCCTGGGGCAAACCTGTGGGGTGCACATCCTCAGTTTCAGCTGCCTCTTTTTCAAAGAACAAAATACAAAATCGATGGGCTCATATCACTGGTGCGGGGGAGGGAAAAAAAAGCAAAAAGCCACAAGGTAGATGCCGATGACGATAAAAATAAGAAGTTGTTATGTGAACCATCCTGGAAACATAAACGTCAGATTTGGACACCGGGCCCACAGGCCGCACACCAGTCCAGGAAGGGCGATCCCTGGGCCCCGCCGGCAGTGCCTACCCGGTCCGGCCTGCTCTGGGCGCCTCCGCCCGCGGCGCACACCCGCTCCTCCCTTCAGGTCGCTCCCGGCACTCGGCCGACCAGCCACGCAACGCGGGGTCCACCGCCGCGGGACCGGCGCCGAGACGGACAGCTCGGGGGGTGCGCGCGCTCCCCGGCGCCCCGACGGACAGCCGCGGCGAACGCGCAGCGCGCGGGTCCCGAGCATAGGAGCGGAGCCGGCCTCCCGGGGCCCGGGCGGCGGGGCCACTCCCGCAGGACCGGCCGCGCCCCGGCCGCCCCCGCCCCGCCGCGAGCGCCGCCGTCACCCCGCGGCCCGCAGGCCTCCTCCTGACCTTGGCGCGGCAGCCCCGCCGCCCCGGGCCCGGCCCCGCCACGGGCCCCACCCCGGCCGCTCCCGGAAGGTCGGCGCCGCTCACCGGAGCCCGCAGGGCGCGGCCCGCAGCAGGCCCCCGGCCCCGGCCGCCGCGCGCGCGCACAGCACTCGCGCCGCCATCTTGCTCGGGAGCCGCCGCCGCCGCCGCCGCGAATCCCCCCCCCCTCCGTCCCCGCGCCGGGCCCCGCGGCCGCCGCAGAGAGCGCCGCCGCCGCCAGGGGGAGCTGCCGCCGGAGGCCTGGGGGAGCCGCGTGAGGCGGCGGCGGCGCCGGGTGTCCGGGCAGCGCGGGCAGAGCCGCAGATGCGGCAGGTGTTCCCCGAAGCTCGGCGCTCCCAGCCTGCTGCGAGTGAGGCACCGAGGGAACGTTACTGTTGCAAACAGCCACATCCTAATTCAAGCGCCCGGGGACACATGCCTAGCTCCGGTAGTGTAGATCACACTGCCCGTGCATTTTGGCACCAGACGGTGCTGGTCACCGGCAGCCCCAGCGCCCATCCCAAAGCCGTCCAGTCTGGTGGGGACCTGCGTGAATAACTGGATGGAGTGTCAGGTGTTCACACGACGCAAGGTCGGCACCGAAGGGAGAGCTCCTGGAGGGGCTGGCTAGGCCGCTCCATCCCAGGGGCTCCGTCAGTGGAAGAAGGCAGAGCACTACCGGGGGGAGGAACCTAAGCAACAGGCGCGGGTCTCTGTGGCACTGTATAGGGAAAACTTTATTCGTGGGAAGATAAAAAAAGGCACAGATGTAACCACAGCGAACACTTCAACCAAGACAGGAGAGAAGAAAGAGGTGGTCACAAAGCGGAAGAAGCGAGTGACCGGGTAGAGCAGGCCCCAGCTGCCAAAGGGGAGCATTCCAGGGAGGCCAGCCTGGGCCGCTTGGAGATTTGTGCATAGGAACAGCGGAGGCAAAAACTGGGTTTCTTGGCTAAGTTTTCTGAAGCTGCGGCTACTGGGGACCAAGGGGCAAAGCTATGTGATTGGGGCAGAATGTGAGCATAATAATAAGGGAAGCAACCATTTGGGGCAGGGATGGGTCCTGTGGGTGGAGGAGGCATCCTAACAATTTACCTGGGGAGAAACACTTGTGTTTGGAGGTCAGTGGGAATAAGTTGAGTGGCCAAGGGAGTTCTCTGCCTCAACTAGCATCGGTTTAGTGAGCTTATGTAGACCCAAAGGGAGGCTTGTCCCAGTCCTGCAGAGTAGGTGTGGATGAGACCATGCCTTCACATACACATACACAATGATAGTTTTTTTTTTTTCCCCCTTCAGTGCTGGGGACTGAACCCCAGCCTCCTGCTCTAGTAGGAGTTACACCCCAACCCATGAAATTTTTATTTAAATAAAAATACATTCCAGAGTATACATAAACCTTTAAAAGAGTTTATAGATGGCTTGGACTCTGTCCCAGAACTGATGGTACAGGTGTCCTGTCATCTATTGGGAGACCACTTGGGGAAGCATGAGATGCTCTGCATGAACCCTTTCCAACTAACCAGTGTCACAAGGCTCTACCTGCAGACACTTAAGATACTGTTTCCTTTGCTCACCTATCCAGGCACTACACCAAGAACTCCACTTTGCAACGTCAGCTATCCAGTTTAGGTCTCAAGATATCAGCTTATCTTTCTCCTTCCGGTGCATTTTCGACACTGGTGCTATTTTAACTTTTATTGAAATGAAACTTTACCATTTTTAGAACTTCAAATAATCCACTGTCATTTAGAGTGTAACTCTTATTTCTCTAGTTCCACTTGTGTTTGAAATGTCCCAATAACTTTCTCCTGCTTTTAGAACCTCTGCTTATGCCTTCTCTCGGAGTTTTACATGCCCTTCCTTCTGCCCCAACGCCCTTTCCACAACCCTCATCTACTACCCCAGACTTCAAGATTCAGTTCTAGCCAGGTGTGATGGTGCAGACCTATAATCCTTGAACTTTGGAGGCTGAGGCAGGAGGATCTCAAATTCAAGGTTGGTCAGCAACTTGGCAAGACCCTGTCTCAAAAAGGACTGGGGATGTAGCTCAGTGGTTAAATGTCCCTGGGTTCATTGCCAGCACTGCCCACCCCAAAAGACTCTTAACACTGTCTCATTTCTCCAGGGAAAATGTTCTAAACGCTCCCCTAGGACTCAGTGGTACAGTGCTTGCCGAGCATATGCAAGGTCCTGGGCTCAATCCCTAGCACCTCAAAAAAAAAAACAAAAACAAAAACAAAAAAAAAACAGCAGGGCATGGTGATGTATATCTGTAATCCCAGTGACAAGGGAAGCTGAGGAAGGAGGATTGCAAGTTTGAGATCAGCCTCACAACTTAGCGAGGCCCTAAACAACTTAGTGAGAACTTGTCTCAAAAATTAAAAGGGGGGGCTGGGGATGTGGCTCAAGCGGTAGCGCGCTCGCCTGGCCTGCGTGCGGCCCGGGTTCGATCCTCAGCACCACATACAAACGAAGATGTTGTGTCCGCCAAATACTAAAAAAAATAAAATAAATATTAAAAAAAAAAAAAAATTAAAAGGGGCTAGGGATGTGGCTCAGTGGTAAAGTGACCCTGGGTTCAATCCCTAGTACCAAAACAAAACAACAAAACCACCTCTCCCCTAAAAGGTTCTGTTTGCCATGAAGGCATCTATACATACCTCCCTGCCTTGTTGAGGCCCTATGACTAATGCCTGTGGCCATCACTGAAACCCTGTTATATAACACACATATTAGCTGAGGTTGAAATATATCCCAAGTCTCTTTCTAGGAATCTGAAAACTGAGATACAACTCAGTATTTCCTCAGGTCAGAATCTAAGTTATCCCACTTTATTAACACATTGCCACAAAACCCAGAAACCTCCAACTTAAATACATTAAAAGTCCCACAACTCAATGTTTCACATTTTAAGAACTCATGCCCACTTCATCTAGCCTAGGATATAAACAACACAATGTCTAAAATTTTATTTTCTACATGTCAACATTCTTATTAATACAGCTCAGTCTTTTAAAATTTGACCACAAACATATTGACTGTTTCCCTTGTGAGTTGGTGAAATCAGAGAAAAAAAAAATTTAATTTTGAATAGATACCATCAGAGAATATGACTTTATCAGTTTATATTGAAGGGTTTTCTTCTCTAATAGAGGCTTAGAGAAATTCAAGATTCCTTTGAATGAAAAAATAAATAAGAAAAATTGGACACAGTTTGGAATGAAACTGAAATTTTTTTTTCCCCATAAAGCAAACATAGATCTTTCCCTTTGGCTCCTTCTTCCACTCCTTCACGGTGATGAAGAAACATCGAGTTCTTCTGGAGTTTTGGGGTAATTGGTTTCCAAACTGATGGGATTCTCCAGGTAGGTGGTTCCCGCACAGGGTTTTCCTGTCACTGGATCTATGACTTTGCCAACCTTGAAAACGATCTCGGCCAGTTCATGTTTCACATGCTTTGTTCGTGGAACAGGTAAAGCTTTGAGAAGCACAATATCCCCAACAGTGCACTGCTGAAGGGCATCGTGAGCAAAGTATGTTTTTCGCTTATTAAAATACTGTTGAGAGAAGGAGAGGAACAAATCAGTGACCAGACAATGCAGTGTAGAATATGAAAAACTAAAACACAGAACAAGCCAGGACTTGGGGACCAGAAGGCAGGATGCTTAAAGACCACTAGTACAGAGACTAGCTGCCTAATTCCTGGAAAGCCAGCATGGATTCTCCAGAGCTGGTCTTGTCCTTGGGTCTCCAGTCCATTCCCTTGCTCTATCCATTGTCATCTCTCCCTGCACTAAACAGTTCTTCCCCTGAAGCCTCCCTGAAACCTACAAACATGCTACTCTCTCCACTAGCTGCAAGTCACTGAACCACTTCAAACCATAAAGAGGCTCTAAGATGGGAGAGGCAAAGCCTGTTTGTATTTTCTCAGCAACTTGGGAGGCTGAGGCAGAAGGATTAAAGTTCAGCCCAAACTCAGCAACTTAGCAGGATCCTGTTTTAAAAAAAAAAAAAAAGGCAGGGGGGAGGCTCTAAAGTTATCAAGAGAATAAACATTACACTGGAATCACCTATTTTTCATAACATCCTAACTGTAGCAAGAATTTCCATTTTATAGAGAGAAAAGCAGGCCGAGAGTTATGAAACATGCACAGTTGACAAGGGTCAGCATTCAAGCCAAGGTCTTCCAAGGCCAATGACCATACCACACACCACTCTTTGGCTTTCTCCTGTGCTTTTGTTCCCAGATAATGAACAACATTCCCGACTACTTGTGGGTCCAACTTTGAATGCAGAAACCATCCTTGGTACCTGCCCTCCTCTCTGTGTACATCTAACAAGTCCATGACTCTGTTCATTCTTCCTGAAATCTGCTTGTCCCACTGCATGCCTACTGCTCCAGTTTTAGTTCAGGTCCATTTCCATCCAAAACTTGTGCAATGGCTTCTACATCCCATTCCCTTACCTCCAGTCCTCATCCCCATTCCTATGTTTCCAAGTCTGTCTTTCATTTAATTAAAAGATAAATTCCAAACCACAGAACACCCTTTGCAGTTCAGCTCCAACTGTCTTTGCCATTCATTCACAAGAGTGCCTACTAAGTATCAAGTTCTGGGCTCCATCTCGCCAGGCCACTTGCTGTTGAATGTCACACCTATGGTGGCGAAATGAACTTCTGCAAACTTCAGCAGAAGTTTGGTGAATGACTCCCCCCATATGGTCCTTGGTATAAAAATCTCATGTGAAATTCCGTGTAAATGTCTCTTAATTGAGGATGCTCTCTCAGGGCAATCTGGAAAGAGGGTGCCATTCTCTGCTCCCAAGGTGCTTTACTTATAGACTGACCACAAGTAGTTATACTGTTGAAATTAACTCTGCGCTACTGGATATGAATGACAACCAAGTCATATCCATAGGACAGGGCAGTACCTGGCTTGCAGTGGAGACTCCACACATTCTTCTTACAGGGAAATGTAGAACCCATAAAATGTTGGTGAGCTATGACTGCCATCTAAAACAGATATGCTCCTCACCTTTAACAAGTAGGGATCCAGAACAAGCCTGGTCACCCTCACTTTAGCGGTTCTCTGCATTGCTGTCCCAATCACCTTCCCCACGATCCATTTGGCATGGACCGATGACCGAGCTATTGACATTATGTGGTTCTTATCACCTGAAAGACAAATTTCAAAGTTAACATTCTGGTGGTTGTCTTGACGAACGAGCTACCACGAGAACTGCCCTGGTTCAGAAAAGGCTTTTGTTGCCCGAAACAGACACGCGGAGACATCCCGTCTTTCTTCAAGTCCAGGGGCCCACCTACGGGACGCGCAAACCAGGGCCGGCGCCACCGGGCCCTCGCTGCCGGCCGCCCGCGGCCTCTAGGCGGGGCGGAACCCTGATCCGGGGTGCCCGGGCCACGGAGGCCGTCCCCCGACACCCCTAAGGCGGGCTGCCCGCACCCGCCCCAGCAGTTCTCCCACCGCGGGGCACGTGCGCCGCGCTCACCTCCAATCCCCCGCACTTCCGAGGGCTGGGGCGTCTCACCGCACGCAAGCCCCGCCCCGGACCGCGCTCGCAGGCGGGACCTCTCATTGGTCGGTCCTCCCATTGGCAGGTCCTCCCATTGGTCGGTTCTCCCATTGGCCGGTGCTCTTAGCAAGCGATTCAAGGCAGGGATCCACCCGGTCTCCCTTAAAGGGGCCTGGTCGTGATCGCTAGGGCTGGTAGCGTTCCGTTTACAAGTTCCGGGTGAGCGCTGTGATATGCGCGCGGGAGGTTCCAGCCTTTCCTCTTGTGTTTGGCTTATTCTTCCGTTGGTCGTTGGTGGGGGGGTGTTGGGGGGTTGGGCAAGGCCTTCCAAATCCAAGGAACTTGATTCTTCCTTTCCCCTTCTCTTTCCAATACCAGGAATGAACCCAGGCCCTCGTGCGTGCTAGCAACCCCTTTAATTTTTTTTTCTTTTTTCTTTTCTTTTTTTCCTTCTTGAGATGAGTTTTCCCTTAGTTATTCAAGCTGGCCTGGAACCTGTGATCTTCCTGCCTCAGCTTCCCAAGTAACTGGGATTACAGGTGTGCACACAGCTTGGCCCCAGAGGGACTCTCATTCATCAAATATTGAAATTTAGGGGTCCCATTGCGTAGGAGGTCTTTCTAATGTTCTGTTTGCACAGTAGGGTAGGTTGATGCATTTAACTGCATATGTCAAAATGTTATCAAGACAAAGAAATGGTAAATGTTCGAGATGATGTTATCCTGCTCTGATTATTATGCATTGTATACATAAATTGGATTATCACAGTGTACTTCATAATGTGTGCAATTACTGTCCTCTAGAAATAAAAATATTTATTTTTTTTATTTCTCTTAAGCCACGACACAAAGAAAAGACCACCAACTCCAATTTTAAATCAAATTAAACCAAGCTTGAAATTCCGACTGGCCAGGATGTCTCTCCCAAAATCCTTGGGTTAGAAAACAGTCCTCTTGTTCTCTAGGAGCGCAGTTGTATAGCACAAAAAGTTGCAAAAGAGGGGGTGTCTTGAGAACTTACAGATAACAGGATTTTGACAAGCATAATGCAAAGGCAGGTAGTAGGTTAATGGTCTAAATGGTTCAGCACTTAGGGAGTAAATTAGATCCCAACATCAGAATTTATAAGGCGCCAGTAGGGTTTCAGAGAGGGTTATTATCTGGTCAGGGAAAGCCAGGCATGGGTGAGTTCAAGGCAGGCAGGCATTCCAAGCAAGTTTAGAAATCGCAGTAGTTTATAGTAAAACGGAAATTAACTTTTCATGACTTTGTGACGAGATGGCTGCCAATCTTAAGATGGAATTAGGCTGGATTCATCATGGCATTGTGGTGAATGCCTGTCATCTCACCTACTTGGAAAGCTGAGGCAGGAGGATTGCAAGTTGGGGGTCAGCCTGGGCAATTTAGCAACACCATGTCTCTAAATAAATAAAACATTGAAGCGTCTGAAGTTTCTAAGTTCTGGCATTGACATAATCATTTCTATCCACTCTACTGCTTTTTAAGATAAACTTTTGTAGGTTTTTATGTGTGATTTTAGGTGTTCTCAATGTCTCTGAGCTAGAAGTTTGGAGTGTGGACATATGTTTGCTTTCCTGCCCTTTTTATATGTCCTAGGCTTCCTTTGTTCTCCTGCCTCTTCCCCCTTATCTTTCTCCTTCCTGCATATGTGACTAGGTCCAGGAATGCTTGGTGGGATGGCTCAAAGGTGGGAAACAGGTGGGCTGAAGGGGGAAGGGTAGGATGAAGTAGCCAAGGACACATTAACAACTTTATAGCTTCTTGTAGGGAGGGGCAATTCCTGGGACAGGTTACCTGGGCAGCATGTTGGAGCAGTGGCAGGTTCTTGATAAGCATGGAGGAAGGTCTCTGAAGGAATTAACATTTCAATCCCTCAGGGGACAGTCTCTAATTTGTCGAGACTCACTCAAAATTGGCCTGACTTGATTTACCTGTCTATACTGACTGCCGGTCTAATTCTGGCTTCACTGGGAGTGAGGGGACATGTATGCTCAGCAAGGGTCTGATATTGCCTGAACACAGAGTAGGAGGAAGAGTGGCAGGATTTGAGGCTGGGTGGGGCTAGGCTGCCACCCATGAGGCTTTTCTTGTTAAGGGACTGACTTTCTCCTCTAACAAAGCGGGAGCCTTTGAAAAGTATGAGCTGTTTATCTGGTTTTCAAGATCTTTCTGGTAGCTGTTGAAGATAGAATAGAGTTGGGAGGAGCTGGAGGCTGGATGTATCATTAGGGGATGATGAAGACCTAAACTAGAGCAATGGGAATGAAAGACTAAGGATTGGAACAGCTGTGGAGAAAATTGATAGCTGCATGAGATAGCAAGAGGACAATTAAGTATGAATTAGCATGTTCATGCTGCAGTAACCAGCGCCACTGGCTGAACAACGTAAAAATACAAATCTGTTTGCCCCCAGTTCTGGAGGCTAGAAGTTCAGGATGACAGTTTTGCCAATTCAGTTTCTTACCCACTTTCTTACTTTGCTTTGTCACTGTCCCTCCTCGGACTCCTCTGAGTCTTCTAATTTACAGGACCTGATCTTGAAGCTCCTTCTCTGTCCTTGTAGAATCCAGTTTGAGCAAGGACCTGCCAAGTCAGCATGGCACCTCTGCCCCCACTCAGTGGTGGCTCTCCTCCCTAGTCTGCAGTATCGTGGGGCACCCACCTGCCTTCAGCAAGAATCTACCTTGCTCTGTCATTTCTCCCAGCCATTTGCATTCACAGACCCCATCCTTCTCCTCAATCTTCCCCAATCCTCCTGCCTCAGCTTTCCAAGTAGGTGAGATGACAAGCATTTCTTCTCCTTGCTCCACATCTCCACATCTCCACTGGGGTTCAGTGTCCAGCTGGCCTCTCTCACTTCAAGACACACTGCAGTGGTCCCTGTGCTTTGGTAGTCCTCCATAAGTCTCACTTACCAGCTTTGAAAGTTTCACGGATAGTGTTTCTTGAACAGTCTGCATGCAGAGTGCGGGGAATCAGGGAGGAGTCAGGGGGTCCAGAAGGAGCCTGCACAGAGCAGTGAGACACACCCACAAGAGATCTAGAGGTCTGGTCACCTCTGTCTCAGGCCAGAGTCTCCTTTATAGTTTCATCACTATCACATCATCTTATGCAAGCAGAGTTTCTGAGCCTACGAAGTTCTATCACCTCGGGTAAATGACTTAATTTATCTACCTTCAGGATGGTCATATAAATCTATAAGGCACAGATTACATATTCAATAAATGTTAATTTGCTTGTGTCTCATTTATAACCTGAATGTTTCTCTGTAGAAATTTAAGAAATCCCTGTAAATAAATATATAGCATCACCCAACATTTATAGAATTTTTCTAGTTACTTAGGCATTATGATAAATTTTATTTATATGCTCTCCTTTAATACCTACCACAAATTTATTAGGCAGAAAATAACTATTGGTTCTATGTTATAGATGAGGAAACTGATGGCCAGAGAGCTAAATGACTTGCTCTAGGTCTCATAGCCACCAAATGGAAGAACGGGAACTTGAACTTTGGCAGCCCCTGCCATACTTGTCTGCCTCCTAGCCACATGAGACAACTGTTTAAGTGCCTATTCTGTTGCCAGAACTGTAGATATAATTAAAGGACACAGGGTTTTTTTTCCCTATGAGGTTAGACTCAGCTTTGACTAGAATGTATGTGTCTCTTCAAAATTCCTATGTTGGAACCTATAACCCAATGCGATAGTGTTAAGAAGTGGAACCCAGGTGTGGTAGCATAAGCTATAATCCCAACAAAAGGTTGATTGTAACAGTGACTGCACAGGGTTAGCAAAGGGTGGAGGAAGGGTGGAAGGAAGGCTGGGAGGAGGCTGGTGGAGAGTAAAAACTGGTAGTCCTAGGTAGACCTAAGCAAAGGAATGAGGTTGAGAGGGCCAGTCTACAGACTGCCCTGACTGTGTAGTGAGGACACAAAGACCTTGTGAGGCTTTTAAGGGGATCTGAATCCCACTGGATTTCTTTTAGAAAGCATTTACAGAGACCACTCAGTAAAGCCAATAGGAAATGTTACATTCCTCAGCAAATACGGCTAAGTGTGGGAGAAATGCAGACTGTTAAGAAGAACACAAGTCAGCCCTCAGGGAGTCTTTGGTGACCTTTACACAGAGCAGATGCCAGGACTCAGGGAGCCAGGATAGGCAGAAGCAAAGCTTGCCACCATAAAATCTGTAAAAATCAGTTCCAACTAGAACTGGTGGGCGAGAGACAAGCGTTGCCTTGAACCTTCAGCACATCATTGCAGTAGTAAAATCCATGAAGCAAGATTGGCACAGAGCTGGGCTTTCTGAGAAACTAAGGCTGTGCAAAGACCCTCCTTTAAACCCCGATTGTTGCAATCAGGTCTGAAAGATTTCAGACAGGTCGCTCCGACTAACAGGCATGAGTTTATTGAAGAGATAGTAAATGGGAAAGGCGACACTCTCAAGGGAGAGAATGGGTCCTCTCAGAGGAGACGGATGCATGCTTCTCCTACAGTCCAGTTTTACTGGAGTCCTTGGAAGTTTCCAGAGACTTTGATCTGTCCCACACTGTATCCTCACGGTGCTCCAGGAGCCCTGGGGCTTGTGGTGGCATGGGTAGTCGATCCCACACTGCCACCTACCAGTCATCAGTGTCCCTGCATCTGGAGGCCGCTTAGACTCAGCATGAGCAGCCCAGACTCAGGCCTTCTGCAAACCCCTGCATTTTCTGTTTCCAGGCATTCCTGGAAATCCCAGGATCTACTGAACTATGTTTTCAGGGTCCTGATGAAAATAATATTCCTGAGATCTCAAATAGCATAGGTGTTCTTGAGAACTTACAATTGTACAAATAATGAGGACACAAAGAACTTGTGAGGTTTTTAAGGGGATCTGAACCCATTTTTGGCATAAGGTAAACTTCAATAGAAAATTAATTTA